AATTCTAAAGTTGAGATTATTGACAGGTCAGTCTGGACTGAGTGGTTGGGAGTTGATTTTATGACTAATCCAGATGCTGAACATGTACATTGTACATGCTTTTCTACTTTTGAGCCACATTACTCCATTTATTGCAGATATTTCACATCTAAGGCTTATTATATAAAGCATATGTTGTATTAATAAGGATTTGTATGCAAATCTTCATCCTCGAAGAACTTTGAGATCATTAATTAATACACTCATGCTCTCATTCTAAGAGGCAAGTTTTGCACCCTTATTTTCAGACTTCAGACTATGTGCATTTCCTCTCAGGATGTTCAGGGAAGCAGTAATGGGACTTGGGTATTAAGTATGCAAAATCTTTATCCTCATCGGTGGAAAAGGCCTTTAATTATGTGCTCCCTTGCTCTCTTCTCTTTAACTTTCTTTTTCCTATTTTATTCTCACCAATGTTAGAGATCAGTAGTTTAAAAACACTTAGAGATTAGTAGTTAAGGAATGAATCAGCAGAAGACAAAGAAATGAAATTGAAAAGAAAAAGTATTCAGTTTGTACCTAAATTATACTAACTTACATGTACCTAACTTTTCTTCCCACAATTTACTATTTTACTACAAGAATGATAGCTGCCCTGTATTGAGTGTTGTATCTACCAGGCATTATGCCAGGTACAAGGGATAAAGACATTTTTTTCCTGAGAAAAACAAACTTCTGCCTTCAGAGAATTTATGGAATATTAGAAAGACATTCTTGGAATCTGGTAACTTTGATATGATAAGTATGATAATTGTACTAATAAGTTGTAAAGACTACATAAAGAAAGCATATTTGCCCTAATCTGACAGACATGGAAGAGTTACTATTGGAGTTGATATCTTGGCAAAGTTGTATAAAATGAATAGGGGTTATCAAGGTGAAGTGACTTAGTGTGTTTTCTGTAGCTATAGCTGAGACTGAGCACTTTATAAAGAAAAGATATTTATTTAGCTCACAGTTCTGGAGGTCAAAGAGTTAGTGTTCTAGCAATGATACCGTGACTGTATCATGGATGTGGCAAAGATACAGGAAGGAAACTGGCCATCTACAGAAGGAGCCAATCATGTGAGGAGGCTTTACTTTATAACAACTCACTCTCATGAGAACTCTCTTATTTGGGAAGCCAACAGTAATCTCTTCTAAGGTCTCATCACTTAATTACATTCCACTAGATCCACCTCTTAAAGGTTCCATCACTTTAATGGCACCGTCTTGGGGATCAAGTTTCCAGCAATGAACCTTTTCAGGACACTTGCAAATCCTATCCAGACCATAGCCAGGGAGAGCCTTTCCAGGCCAAGATATGGTATGAGCCCCAGCAAGGAGTTTAGGCCCACAATGGTTGGTATGGTGCACAAAGCAGTTGGGGGAAGAAGCAGGTTGGGAAAGCAGAAAATTGTTTAGCTTTGTTATTTCATAAAGTTAAAGGCGAAGAGTGAAGGAGTTAAATTTGGAGCATTGATAGAGGTCAACTCCATAGCTAATGAGAAGCCATAATTTTCCTCTGGTGGGAGTATATTATCTACATTGTAGACATTTTGTGGAATGAACCTGGATTCCCAAATATATTTTTCATAAAATGTATTTCCTTTATCTGAGCTTCTAATGGCACCACAGTTTCTCATGATTCTAAATGAGATAAAGATTCTTCTGCCTATCCAGTCACTCTGTGAATATTGGTGTCAAGCTCTGCACTAGGCAACACGGAGTGAAGGCTTAGAAAATCACATAACCCGCAAGGAACCCACAATCCAGTAGGGGAAAGAAGCAAGAACAAACACCAACAATTCTCCAACTCTGGGGATATGAACAAATATAAGTATGCCAAGGAGATATGGGAGCATGGACCAGGCAGGGTTGGAACCAGGCTTAGATTGTCAAAAATGTGCCACACCATAGAAGGCTAAAACAATATATATTTATTGTCCCCCAGTTCTAAAGGTAAGAAGTCTAAGATCCAAGTGTTTGCAGGATTGGTTTCATCTCAGATTACTCCTCTGAGTTTGCAAATAGTGGTTATGTTAGCTTTATGTCACTATAAACTTTATAAGATAGTCAGTTTATATAGAGACAAGGCTTATGTTAGTCACAGTCCATTATCTGTTGACCTCACTGCTTTCAGGCCCAGGTTGAGGCAGCAGATCATGGCAGGGAGAAAAACATCTTACCTCATGGGTAGGAAGCCAAAGTGAGGGTTCTATTATTCCCTTCAAGGACCTGCCCTCAATGACCTAAAGATCTCCCACCAGGCTCTGCCTCTTAAAGGCTCCCCCACCTCTCAGTATTACCACACTGTGGACCAAGCCTGCAATACATGGGCCTTTTGTGGACACTCAAGATTTAAACTGTAGCAGCCATCTCCTTGCTTTGTCCTCATCTGGCTTTACCTCTGTGCATAAGGCATCTCTAGTATCTCTGTGTGTCCAAATTTTCTCTTAAATGACAATAATCAGATTGGATTAGGGTCCAGCCTCATTTCCACTTAATCATCTCTAAAGGCCCTTTCTATAAGTACAGCCACATTATGAGGTGCTGGAGGTTAGAGCTTCAGCATACAAATAATGTTAAAGGGACACATTGAGCCCCTAGCTTGGGGCTAGAAATGGGATCTCCAAAGTTACCCAAGGAGAGATGCTTGAACTTACTCCTGGGAGCAAATGAGGAAACAGCTGAGGGCTTAATACAGAGGAGTGGTCAGTGGAGATCTGTGTTTGGAAGAAATCACTGCTCACAGGGAGACTGGAGAGGCTGCTGTTGTTGTTTTGAAAAGAATGAGAGTCTGAACAAAGGCAGGAGGAAGCAAACCATAAGCTCTTCACTTCATGACAGCTAGGAAGGAGAGGGTTGGGGCAGGAACAAAATATACCTTTAAATGCCACAGCTCCAGTGGCCTCCCTTCTCTAACTAGGCCCCGCCTCTTCCTTAGACCACTGAAATATGAATTTTTTCAATGGATTAATCCACTGAGGAAGTTAGAACTCTTGTGATCCGATCAACCCAAATCCGAACCCAGCGTATGAGCCTTTGGGAGAACATTTAAAATCCAATTTGTAATACCTTCCAAAGGCATGCAGGCTATGACCTGCTGCCTCTAACTAGGCCCATGAAGTTTCCATCACCCTGCACAATAAGCACCACTAGCTGGGAATGAAGCTGGTTGAGTTACTTTTCTCATTGGTGAGACAAAATACCCAACAGCAAAATTAAAGGAGGAAAGGTCTATTGTTGCTCACAGTTTATAGAAGTTTCAGTCCATAGTTTGCTGGCTACGGGTGGCCTGGAAGAGGGGCATCACAGAGAAGAAACAGTCCTTGGCAAAGCAGAACAGGCAGAAGGCACCAAGCAGCAAGTGAAGCAGCAGCAGCCTGCCTCTTCCTTTTATCCCTTCCAGGCTACCTGGCTTTCGGGTGGTGCCACCCACAAGGTTGGCCCTTCCTATTATCCATACCCAGAACTGTGCCAGACCAATCAGTGGACTAATTCAGTAACCACACACCCTTTATCCCAGCATCACACACTCTAGATCCACCACCTCCGAAAAGCCTCACCTATGACCACATGAGGTTTTGGGGGGACATCTAGACACAAGCCATAACAGAAGCCTTCAACGCAAAAGAGTCTTTTAAGGACACCAGACCCAAATTCCAATAGCTTTGTTCCCAGAATGATGGTATTGGGAGGTGATGGGAACTTTAAGAGGTGGGAGGTCTTTGGATGACTGAAGGGCATTGTGGGAATGTGATCCCCTCCTCACTCTTTCTTGCCACCCAGCCATGAGGTGAGGATTTTACTTGACTGGACACACCTGCCTTGATATGCTTTCTCTCCTCAAGCCCAAAGCAACAAGACAAATCAACCATGGACTGAAACCTGCAAAACTGTGAGACAAGATAAACTTTTTCCTTTTGTGAAATAAATTTCAAAGGTGTTTTTAAAATAGTGATGGGAATCTGACCACCACAACGTATCATATGGCTAAAATAAAAGAATGAAATTTTGTTAATAGGGTAAGTTGTATTTCACCAAAATCTATATGTTGCAGTCCTAATGATATAGGGGAAATATATGCAACTCCCAAACCTGCTAGATATCTGAAATGTGAGTTCATGTTCTCTAAAATCGAAGAATGAATTCTAAGAACAATGGAGGTTAAGAGTAGGAAAAATTTATTGAGAGAAAGATAGCTTCTGTCTAAGAGAGACAGAAGGAGGACCAGAAAATGGGTTGCCTGCCCCCCCTGCTTTTCGAAGGAGTTTTATATGGCAAAGCCATGAGATGAGGCAGGTACAAAGTGGGACAAAACTATAAGACCCAATGGAAAATTACAAGGTGGGCATGAGGTGGGACAAAATTATGACCAACCAATAAGTTTACAAGTACAGTCACCCAGATAATATTGATTAAATGGGGATCAAATGGGAAAACAAGTCACATACAAGGAATTTCCCACTTAGAATATCAATCACTGTTATCTATCTCTAGGGGAAGTAGCACCTTTTATTTTTTTTATAATGGTAACCAGTAAATGTGGCTTAATTGTTCTCCTGGTTGACTTCTGGCTGTGTTGGCTCCTTGAGGGCTGGTGCCTTGAGGGCAGCCCTGTCTTACTGCCTACAAGATATCTAACTTATCTATCTATAATACTAAGTATAGTATGTTAGGATATGATGTTCTTTTCTTCAAAGAGCCTTTAAAGAGATAATTAAGGTAAAATGAGACCATTAGAGTGGGCACTGATCCAGTGTGACAGATGTCTTTATTAGAAGAGGAAATCTGGACCTACAGAAAGATGCCAGGAGTATGTGACCACAGAGCAACGGCCATGTGAGGACAAAGTGAGAAGACAGCCAAGGAGAGAGGCCACCACCAGTCCTGAAGACACCTTGATCTTAGACTTCCAGCTTCTAGAAGTTGAAGAAATCAGTGGCTGTTGTTTAAGCCCCACACACTGTGTACTTTATTATAGCAGCCAGAGCAGAATAATGCAATTAATAAACATTTTTTCCAGATAAGCTAAATTTGTTCTTCTAAGTATAAAACCTTTGAAAATATTACTGCATTTGTAAGGATACACACAAGTGTATGCACATGTGCACACATATGCACACACACTTTTTTTGTGTGGTGCTGAGGTTGAACCCAGAGCTTCAAGCATGCTAGGCAAGTGCTCTACCACCAAGCTACACCCTCCAGCTCCAAGAAGAATGTATTCTAAGTTGTATCTATAAATGATAATGTAATGAATCCCTTGTTGAGCCCATCAGGTCCTATCTTTCTATCATACATGATGCAGCACTGCCAGGCCCACAGACTAGAGGGACAGTTACCTTCTGTCCCTGATCCCCGATCCTGATGCTGTTAGTTTTTAGGATTTTTGTTTTGCCTTGGTCCCCTGCCCTGCTGCTTCAGGCTGTCACTTCCTTCTGCTTGTCATGTATTCACTTCTAGCAACCTCCTGCCTTCCTCCCAAGGTAGCTGGACAACAAATAAGCAAGTTTGCTTGATTTCTGTGTGATAGAGTAAACAGGCCTGAAGGAAAACCTAGAGAACAAAGGACATGTGTTTTTCTTATGCACAAATTTAGTGACACTTCTTGTAGCTCCTGAGAGAACATTTTAACCTCCTTCCTGGACATTGGCAGCCTGGAAGACAGTCAAAATTGCCATCTAAATGACCTACTGATGAGATGTTGCTCTTTTGGCCAAAATGATGGGGAATCCTCTGTAGATGTGAGGGTCTCTCAGGGACCCGGATTGGGAGTTCTTGGTGTGTTTCACCTGGGTCCCCTCTGCCCACCAGAGCCTGCAGTCTTTCAGCGCATAGTGGCTGCTGAGTGGAATTGCTGTCAGGAGCACTGCCCTTCATGCCTCCTCCTCTTGACATTCTGCCGAATTTGTAACTCTGGTGGGAGACAGATGCAATTTATCTGTCCTACTTCTCTATGAAGATCCAGAAAGATACACTCATTTCCTAGAATTCATTGGGAACCATCAAAAATGTCAGGGCCCATGAACAGACTGGCAAGGCAATTTTTCCAATGTCAAAACAAAATCTCGAGGACCAAAATTGAAGTTGGGCAAATTGGCCCAGAGAAGCCTCTGGCATGGATTCAAAACTGCCTGTGGCTCCCCTGGGACTAGGAGGACAGGGTATGTTGGTACCTTCAGCAAAGATGCTCAGTTTGAATTGAAGACACTTTAATTTATGTGAAGTGATTTCTCTCCAGTTTAACTCGGAGCAGGGCTGCCCTGGGAACCAGGTACCTGATATCTCTGCCCTGTGTACAGACCAAGCGTGTTTATGGATTCCTAGGCAGCAGTCTTGGTAGCCCAGGGGAGGGTAAAGTGGCCTGGTCATACTTCTGCTCATATTCCCTGCCATTTCCAGAACCCCAGGTCTTTCCATTCCTTGTCTTTCTCCCGGTATTTTAACTCTGACAGCCTTGCTCTAGAGAGAAGAGATACCGAGAAATGCAATTAGGTGGAGGACCAGTGAAGCACCAGAAGTGTGAGAACGCTTCTGGACCTTCAGCCCTACCCAGGCCCCAGAAGACTGTGTCCACATAGCTGTCTGTGCCCATCCCACAGCAGATGAGTCATGTTACCCCATAGAACTACAAACAGAGGATGGCTACTGTTGCAAACCATTACATCTTGAGATGAACTGCTTTGGAGCAAGGGTAACTGGAGCAGGTATTCTAGGAGAGATGCAAAGCAGAAAAATGATTCCCAGTCTTCACGGGAAGGCCTTATTATTTAGGATTCCTGTTCAGTGCCTACTTTGAAGGTGCCAGAGAAGCAAGAAGAATTGAGAGAAATAAGATCCCCTCCTTGATCTTGTGACGGTGAGTACAGTACTGTGTTGGTAGCAGCTTTGGGATATTGTGTTTTGTCTTCCCATCCCATCACCTCTACCAGATGCCCATCTCTGTGTGCATGAGATAGTCAACACTTTATTATAAAACAGACTTTGTGTTGGATGATTTTGCCCAGTTGTAAAAGTTATGATATTTGGTAGGTTTAGTGTATTTAATGTATTTTGAGTTATATTTTCAACTTATAATGGGTTTCTCTGAATATAAGCCCTTTTCAAGTTGAGGAACTAGAACAATGTCAGACAGACTACTCAGGATTCTAAATTTTATGGGCCTTGCCTGCACCACCTCAGTGTCACTGGACAGGGCCTGAGGAGGTTCCCAAAGCTGAGATCAGGAACCTAACCTACCCTACTTGCAAAATGTTTGCTGGTTCTCTGAATTCTATCACAGAAAAAGAGTTTCCAGGAATAGTCAGTAAGAGACATAGGAAAGGTTTTATTAGGTAAAAATTAAAAGGTAGATGCTCAAAGAAATAGATTACAGACCCTTAAGAGAAAGTGGTACCTTATTTCCTGAAACTGGGGACATTTATGTTTCTCTTGAGGGAGTAGAAACCCTGGGAAAAGGTGGCTCAGCCCTGAGAAGGGTACTGGCCCATCTTACAGGTATGGATCCAGTTTGTGTTTTTTTAAAATAGATAACTGAAATATTTTTCAGATTCTCTCAACATGTTCCTTTATCGTAGGATCAGGTTCTTGCCTTTTACTTTCTCGGTCAAGCCAATTTATGGACTTTCAGTATTCCTGAGGAATGTTGATGGGTCTGGAAGGAAAGGAGTCTAAATTCAGTGTAACCAAGGGAATGGTGATATGGATCGCCTCGGGCAACTTTGACTGGGTCACAGACATTGCAGTGTTCTTAAAAGAACAATTCTTAAAAGGTATTATTGCCTTGTCTCCTTTTCACCGATCTTTCATTTCTTCTACCCTAACTCAATGTGGTAGAATCGTGTAACACTGCTGGTCTGGGGGGTGCCCTAAAGGCCTTCTCACCTCCACCCTCATTCTCGGGGCCCATACTTGTTTTACCAGACATAGCAGTGATGTTTGGTGGCCACCATTTGGCCTATGCTAGGTTGCTTTTTATTTAGCAAGGGGTGTTATTGAATATTCTTGTTAGTATACATCTTCTTAGCTTTCATCTCATAGAATTACCATGGGAAGAGGGATTTTGGGAGCCCCTTGGTCTTGATCTTCACTTTCCTTTAAAATCATCATAACCTGGGAGTTTTCAGCTCAGTTTTTTGTTTTTTTCTTTTGGTACCGGGGATCAAACTCAGGACCTTGCACTTGTGAGCCAGGCGCTGGAACCACTGAGCTAAATCCTCCACCCATTTCAGCTTAGTTTTTAAGTAGCAATGACTCATCTGGCACAATCAGCGACCGTCTTAATTGGAATCTCAATCTTCTAACATCTCCCTGTTGCAGTACTACTGTAAGGAAAGGACTGCTTATAGCTAGGCTGCAGGCTACTGTGTATGTTTGAGGAAGAGAGACAGAGAGAGAGAAGAAAGGCAATGTTCACATGATAGAAAGAGACTTAGAGCTGGATTTCCTTTGCTGTCAAGTGTTCCCAAGTGCTTAAGTGCCTTGGGTCCAGGTGTGAGAGAATTAGCCATCTCATAGACCCAGCCTCCTGGCCTTTCCTCATCTTTCTCTCCCCTTCCCTCCCATCACACAGAACCCTTCTCTAACTTTCTAGCTTTGGGCTGCTGCTCTTACAAAGGCCAGAAAGGAAAAAGAAAGACCCCATTGGGAATAGAGTGTAGAGAAGAAAAAGATTAGCATTCCCCTCCCTCATTCCACCTGCTTCAGGAAAACCAGCTCCATTTCCCTTAATTTAACACCTCTCCAGCAAGCTGGGGCTACATTCCACTCAGCAAAGCTGGTCTGGCATTTCCCATTCAAAGCCTAGATAGGAAACCAGAGGGGGAAATGTTGAGGGGAAAATATTATTTTTGCTCTTTCCCTTGAATCTTGGAAGAGAGAACTTATGTGAGTAAAAAGAAAATAAAAAAGGCAAAACAAAGAAAAATAATAATAAACCTTCAATATACCACTCTATTAGAGGCATGCCTTAAGAAATTCTCTAGAGCAAAGCTGATCTGAGGGGTAAGATGGAGCAGAAATATTGCTAAAAAGAAAAATGGACAGAAAAAGAGTGCTGAAAAGATTATCTACTTCTGAAAACCAGTCACCTACTGTATACTAGCTGGTGAGCCAGGAAGGCAGCTTTAAACAAATATGCCCACTGTCATTTACATTTTAATTATTTTATGGGGCTGTAAATTTAGTTGAAATACAAATTTGTTTACCCAAATTCTTCTCTGTCATGTCTTCTCTGTGAAGGCTCAATAACTGGACCTGTCTCATAAAGTTCATGGGGTCAGGATGAAGAATAATGACATCCCATGACAGGTTATTCCAGGATCATAATATCCCAGCCAGACACACCCAGAAGGTCCAATCCTGCCTTGGGAATTTAAAATACATTTGAAAATTTCTCTTCAGAAGAATCGTCCTCCATTACTGTTCTTGAACGTAGAGTGAAAGATGTGTATTGATCTTTTTTTATTATTATTGATCTTAAAATGGGCAAAAAATATAGCAAAACCACCCTGTGGATCTGGGGAGGAAAGAGTTATCTCTTCTGAGGTTCATGTGTTTCTTACAAAGGAACACTTTATTATGTCATAACAGAAAAAAACAAGCTTTCTTCTGAAACATCATTTTCTGGTAGAGAGAAAGATCAGTCCTCCTGCCCTGTGAGGAGGAGGGAGCTTTTTAATAGGTCCAATGTTCCCTCTTTTCATGTAGAAATTCTCTTTAGGTAATCTTCAGAATTGGTCTGAAGACTAGAGGGTTTTGCAGAAGTGAACAGCCTGGATGTCCCTGCTTTTAAAAAAAATTTATCTGTCCCATACTGGTGCTGCCTAAGTAAAAATGAGGAAAGTGAGTCCTACCAACTGTCACAGGGGAAATCTTTGTTCCTTCCCCAAGAAGGGAGCAAGAAATGGCTAAAGGCAGCTCTGGGGCATGATCAGGGCTCAGAACCAAGCTCAGGACATCCTCCAAAAGCCGCTCTTAGATTTGTCCGGAATTGAGCTGAAAGTGCCGTTCTTGTTGCTGTCCAGAGTGTCTAGTACTGGTCCCAGGGCTGGAAAAGACCAGTCCCTTCTGCAAGTTAGGGGCTTAGCGCCAAAGGGAACAAAGGGCTGGAGGGAGCCATTCATCCTTGGCTAGGGATTAAGGGGCTGTAGGGCACAAGGTGGAGCCAAGCCACTTCTAATTCTGCACCATGAAGATGGCTCAAAGGGAAGACATGTGCAGAACACATTTGGGCCTCAGGAACTGGCCAGAGCAACATGTGTCCTGGCCCAGGCAGGGTGGCCCCAAGTTCCCTGCAGACAGAGATGCCAAGGGTCAGTCTCTCCTTCTCTGCCCTAAGTACAGTGCTGCTTTTTTTCTCCCCTCTTTCCTTATTAGCACATGCTTGCAGGACATAGTGATTACATTTGTCATACACAGGAGTTGGTACGTGTACATAACATATCTTAATTCTGTTTTGTCTCCTAACTCTCACATCCCTCCCTACTCTAGTGATGATGATGGTAATGAATGATGACAATGACACTGCAAAAGGCATCACTGCTATTCTGTCAGCTATCCACTCTGGCACACATCACTTCATTGTGATGTAGGTAAGCTGGGTGATTATGCCTATTTCAGGGAGAAAAATTATCAGAGCTAGGAAGTTTAAGTGATTTCTCTTACTCTCACAATAGAGTCAGGATTCATGTTATTCAGAGCATATAATTTCGCAGCCTATATTCTTTATTACACCAAGTTTTTATCCTAAAACCACCCAGAAAAAATCTTAGATGAGGAAAGAGGGCTGGCCTCTAAGAAACATCTAGTCATAATGCAGACTGGTGTATTTAGCCTGCCAAGAGCAGAATTTTCAAAATAAGGTCATATATTCACAGTCTTCTGTTTATACTTTTGTATTTGACAAGTGCAAGGTTGCCTGGAAACATCCAGCAGAAGAAATGAAAAACCAATATTACATTTTTTAAAAAATCCACAACTTTAATTGAATTTGTTATGTAGATAAGAATTCTAGTTTCAAAGTTCTATTTCTGTATGGCCTTCAGAAATTTAGCTTCTCTTCCCTTTAATAAAACTCATTGGAAATGGCTTTGTAAATTCACAAGTACATCAATAATGCTGGTAAATCATTCTGTTAGACAATGCTAGGCCCTGTGGAGAAGGTAGTACAAAAGGTAATCCTTACCCATGAGGGGATTATTGTCTAGTTGGGACTGATGGTACACGTGCTCTGCTCTTTGATTTAGGATGGATCATACACCCCTACAGACCCATTGCAATTTGAAAGTATTAGAAGGCAAAAATGCATTTAACACACTATCCCCTCCTAGCTTACTCACACTGTAGGGCAATGATAACAGCCAGCTGTAGCATGTGTGCCATAGGTTCCCCATCACTGCTGTAGTGGTTGTAGTGATTGTTCCCCATCCTGACTGCCTGTTGGCCTGGGAGCTGCCCAGCATTATGAGCAAAGGATTGGACTGTGCATTGCTAACCTGGTTGCTTGGCCCTGTTGCTTTGATCCCATGACAGCATGGTACATCATGACAGGAGCACATGGCAGAGGAGCTGCTCACCTCATGGCAGCTGCAAAGAAAAAGAAAAAAGAGGAAGAGGAAGAGGGCTTCCCTTCAAGAACACCCCTCAAACCTAACTTCTTCCCACTAGGTCCCATTGCTAAAGTTTCTCTATGTCTCAATAACACCACAGCAACTAAGCCTTTAGTACATACATGAGCCTCTGGGGAACATTTAAGATCTAAAGCTTGCACTATCCCATGCATATTGCTTCTGCACTGTCATAAAGCCAAAAGGTTATAAGTTGACCCATAACAAGTCAGAGACTGTCTGTCTAATCATTAAAATAAAAGCTATTTGATGAATGAAATCCAGAAAGAGAAAAGGGCCATATATAGTGATCAGTATCGAAGGGTGTTAGGAAACTTAGGATGGGTTGGGTGGACCAAGGACATTGGGCTCAGTGAAAATGCATAAGCACACAAACATAGGTAAACTGGGGTGGGGACTGAGGACAGAAGTTCCAACTGTCCTTCAGGGTTCCTGGAGGAAAGAAGAAATGTTTGGAAATTTGTACTGTAACAAATTATAGAAAGTCAATAAAGCAGCTAGGATTTAAATTCCATACAAGGCAGAAGCTTGGAAAGTGTTTAAGCAGGAATGCTACATTATCTAATGCTGGGGTCAGCCATTAGCCCATCAGTGAATATATATTTGTTCTATCCAAAATAAGCTGAAGCCATCCTAGCCATTTTCCCACCATACAGGGTCCAAGGGGGTCTCCTAAGGAGGAGATGAGGACTTCAACTCACTCCAGGCACAAGGTAGGTTGTGGGTCACTACCTGTCACCACAGAAAAAGCATTTTCAAGATGTGTCAGTGACAGGCATGAAGAGGTTTATTGGGCAGATTTCAAAAGTCCACACACAGAATAGTATGGGCCCAAGGGAGAGGCCCACATTCTCAAGATGGATGATGTAGGACGTATATTCTTACTGTCTACCAGACTACTCATCTGGCAGGATATGTTAGGCTGCAAACCATTTCCAGGTTTGAAGTTGGTATCTGCTCCCCGCTAGTATTGCCACTTCCTTGGAGATGGAGTCTATAGTGCTAAGTGCAACTTACGGCTGAAAAGTACAGCTCAGAGCCCACTTTACAGGCTTAAGATTCCTAGAAATTTTTGGGGGGGCGGGGGGTGAATTTCCTGATAAGGATAAAAGCTTGATTAACTTTTGCATCCTGAAGGTACAGTTTTCCTTTTAAGTGAAATTTAAAGTTACAAATTTCCCCGTCTCCTTCTACCTATCTTGATTTCTTCTATCCTAGCTCAGTTTGATTCAGGTTATTGATTCAGGTTTCCTCTGCACCTCCTCCTGCACCCTGTGCTCTCATTTCCCAAGGGCTGCCTTCCAGGTCCATCCCCAGGACTTCTGTACCTCTATTGACCTGGGCTTCCTCGGAATGGCTGCTCACGTAACTTCTGTCATCAATGACTCCAAGAGAATTTCCAGGATTAATTCTCAGGGCCACATTGCCCAAGGGTGGCCCACAACATGCCGATGGCTGTCCTACCTCTGTCCTGGCTATGTGTCTTTGTAGATCCCTAGATAGTTCACAAGTGCCCTCTCACAGTAGTTTATGGTTTATTACACAGGCTTTGGACTATTTCAACAATTCTCCCTCTCAGGTATTCTTCTGTACAGATACAATTTCTGCTTTCATGGGCAGCCAACTTCTAGCATCATTAACAGCTTCCAGGTGTTACTTTCTAGGGAAATAGCAAAGGGGCCTGATGAGGTGCTAGATGTTTTATATTACAGCAGCCCTCCCTTATCAGTAGTTTTACAGTCCACTGTTTCAGTTACCCACAATCAACTGCTCTTAAAATATTAAATTGGAAATTCCATAAATAAACAACTTGTAAGTTTTAAATGGCATATTGTTCTAATAGTGTGATGAAATCTTGTGCAGTCCCATTCCATCCCACCCAAGATGTGGGCATCCACAGGATGTACACTACTTGGCTATTAATCACTTAGTAGCCATCTTGGTTATCAGATCAGTTGCTATATCACAGTGCTTGTGCTCAAGTAACCCTTATTTTACTTGACAGTGGCCTCAAAGTGAAAAAGAAGTGATGCTAGCAATTCCGATATGCCAAAGAGAAACTGTAAAGTGCTTCCTTTAAGTAAAAAGGTGAATGTTCTCAACAATGAGTTAAGAAAAAAAATCATATGCTGGGGTTGCTGGGATCTATGGTAAGAACAAATCTATTCCTGAAATTGGGATGCAGGGATAAAAACTCATGCTAATTTCATGTTAAACTATAAAGGCTGTGGCCATGATGTGTAGTAAGTGTTTAGTTAAAATAGAAATGACATGAAATTATAGGGTTTGTAGCTGGGCTTGGTGGTGCAAATAGCCAGGTGTGGTGTAATCCCAGCACTCGGGAGGCTGAGGCAGGAGGATCACCCTGAGTTCGAGGCCAACCTGTTCTACATAGCGAGTTCAAGTCCAGCCTGAATTACACAGTGAGACTTTGTCTGAAAAAACCAAATAAATAAATAAATAAATAAATAAATAAATAAATAAATAAATAATAGGGTTTGGTGCTATTTGCAGTTTCAGGAATCACTGGAGTCTTAGAACATATCTCCATGGATAAGAGGGACTACTGTATTTTAGGTACTACTACAGGGAAGGAAATGCCAGAGGAAGAATATTAGTCCATCTTTCCAAGGAATCTGCCCCTCATATATCTGTGGTATCAGTTATACCATTTCCAGCCTAGACTATCCTGTAACTCTCAAACCAAATTTTGATGACATTGCTTCCATTTCATTTATTTCTCAAAGATTTCCTACAGTCCCCAATATCGGCTTATCAATCAGAAAATGACCCACAATTAGAACTTTTTTTCAACAGGAAGACCCTTAAGTATCATCTCTTCTTTTAAGCTATTCTTTTTACAGATGAACAAACTAAAACCTCCAAAAAAGTTGCTTTCCAAGGATCCTGGTTGCTGGGTGATAGAAGTGGCACTGGAGCCTCATGCTCCTGCTTATTCCTGAGCAGAGTAGGTGTCACTGCCCACTAACAGCAGGCAGAGTGAGCACTGGATCTGCAAGTCCTTCCTACCTGCCCAATGGCTTGGCATCATTTGTGCTAGATTTCCAAGTAGTGCTCATTGGTTGTGATAATGCCATCTAAATAAGATTCCCACCCAACTGCAGTGTGATTGACCTTTCAACAGCTTGTCTTCACCAGATCCCTGGAAATGTCTGAAGTTGGATTTTTAACAATAATAATAAAGTTGAATTTTTCAAAAAAGGTTACAATTTAATTTTAGTTTCCAAATCACTGCCACTTTACTTCAGCTTTGAAAATTTCTAGATTTCCCAGATTGCTTTTATTTATGGATAAACCACTTTCAACACTACACAGGAACTGTGCTAGGGATTTAGCTCAGTGGTTCCATTGCCTGCCTTGTAAGCGCAAGGTCCCCAGTTTGATCCCCGGTACCAAAAAAAAAAAAAAAAGACAACTACATGGGAACCAAGAAGTAAGTATTAGAATTAATCTACATAACAAATAGGAATATCAAGCTATGCTCACACCAGCGTACTTACAAAGATGAGTGTTGACAATGCCTTGGGCAGGGCATGCCACCCCATCTTATTTGTAACTGAAAGTTGTATGGTTAAATAGTGAAGAGCTCACAGCTGCAAAGAGGAAGCTGAAGACATCATAATTTTACATGAAACACAATTCTTGAAGAGGTCTGTAATTTTCGATAATGGTATTGTTACTGATTCTTTCCTTATATATCATCTTTCTTTTAGCATGAATTTTTATAAAAGATTCCATGTTTTGAAATATTGGCATGTCTAGTGGAAGAATTGAGGAAGAACTTTCAATTTGCCATTTAACTTGCCTCAATTTTGCTATTTCAAACAAATGCCTAACCACAGCAGATAGACGTTGTCACTAACTGTCTTCAGGGACTGTATTTTTTTTTTCTGGTACCCAGGATCAAACTCAGGACTTTGCATTTGCTAGGCAGGTGCAGGGCCACTGAGCTACATCCCCAGCCCATCAGGGATTGTCTTAAACTAAGCCAAGGTGAGGAGACATTCTGAATTGTCTTGTGGTATCAGTAAGTGTGGTCATATAATCATACCTATGTTTCATCAGAGTAAAATTCAACTGGTATGCAGAGCGATGACTTGAAATTCATCAGGCCACAGCAGGAACATGGCATTTTAAAAATATCCAAATAAAACAATTTTATGTGATTTGTAATAGAAAAGACACTAACGGTTAAAGAGATTTCAAAATGTTCCTCTCCTCTTTAAATTTCAGGGTTATGCTCTGCTAACGCTGCCGGAAATGACTTGGATTAAATGACATGAATCGGGAAGCCAGGGCCATCAGAAGGTAATGATGTGTGACACACACAAGAAGGCCGAGGCCTTCTGGGCATCAGCGGTGGATGTGGGGGTGGGGCCACAGAAACAGATTTGCATGGCTGCTGGTTGGGCTTGGAAGACATTGCAGGGGGCCCCTCAGGGTCAAGGGCAGAGCAAACACAAAGGAGAGTACCCATCTCTTCCAAATTCCTGCAGAATTCCAATCTAGCATGAAAGCGCAAGTCCTAGCAATGATGAGGTGGTGAAAGGGATGCAGAGAGCAAGCTCATGGCCAAAGAGCCAGCTCCTTGAGTCCTTGCGCTGTGTGGAAGAGCTGGCACTGGCACATGGAGCAGAGATGTGAGACAAAGGGAAGCAAGAAAGGATGCCCGGGAAGGGCTCCTTTAAAACTCAAGGAGTTGCATTTCAATATGAGAAAAAATTTCCTTCCTACATCCTTTTTAAAAAAAGAATATCAAATCACCTTCAAGACAGGCCAGAGCCAATTAAACTGTTTTTCTTTATCTTCAAAGCCCAGGAGTAGATAGACTGCAATATGTGACTACCTGTTTGGTTTTTTTTCTCCTTTTTCCTTAAGGGGGAGGGGCACCCTCTTTTAGCCAAAATGGTAGGCATTCTCCGAACAAGGGCTCCAGTTCAGTATTTATATTTGAAAAGCCAAGGTCATTGCAACAAAAATAAAACTGTCTACTTAATCTGATTTTCAAATGAAGAACCAACAAGCCTCATTTCAGGAAATTCATCCCGTAGAATTTCCAATAGTAAGGGTTTCTATTAGATTCCCAGGACTACTGTAACAGAACACTGCAACTGGTACTTTAAACTTGGAAACACCAAAATGTATTCTCTCACAGTTTCTGAGGCCGCCAGTACAAGATCCTAGTGTTCACAGTCTCCTCACCTTCTGAAGTCTGTGAGGGAGAATCCTTCTGCATCTGCTTCTAGCTTCTGGAAGCTGGAAGCTTCTTTGGTGTTCTCCCTTTGTTCTCACATGGTCATCCTGTTGTATGTGTGGCCCAAATTCCCCTTTTTATAAGGACACCTGTTGGACAAGATTAAGGTCCTCATGAATGACTCATTGTGATTTGATTACCAATGGTTCAAAGTCCTGTGCTAGTTGTGGTACTTTGTTATGGTAGCCCTGCAAACCTACTGTTGAGAATTCTGCATGATAAATTTCCTAAGATGAGGATTGTTGGTTCTTGCTTTAAAAATCAGATTAAGTAGAGAGTTTTATTTTTATTTTAATGACCTTGGAAGCTGTAGCTCCCTGGGAAGAATGGAAGATGGACCTTCCAGAAGCACTGCAGAAGCATTTTAGCACTGGAAATCCGGAAGAACTCAGTCCATTCGCAGTCCATCCCTTCTCACAGTCTTTGAACTCAACCTAAGGAGATTTTATTTTTTATTCCTAGGGATTTATCTTTAAAATAAAAATCAGTAGAAAACTGAAATTCCCTTCAATGTGGTGCATTAAGTATGAACTTTTAAATCTCTTCTTCCTTCCTAAAACCTGCAAAGATGACAGTAAGGCAATAAAATGGTTTTAAATAATTATGATTCCAAGTATGTAGCATTCTAGAAAAGACAGAACCATGGATACAGTAAAAGGTCAGTGGTTGTCTGGGGCTGGGGGAAGGGAAAATGAATGGGAGGAACAGAACGTAGAGGGTTTTAGGGCAGTGAAAATATTCTGTATGATACGGTAATGATAAATACATCATCCTATACAGCACCACGAGTGAGCCCTAAGAGAAAGTGTGGACTCTGGATGATAAAGACTCGGTAGTGCAGGTTCATCGGTTGCTACTTCCATTAGGGGTATTGATAATACACAGGCTGTACGTGGGAGAGTAGGGAGTGCATGCTGATCCTGATGAAAAGACTCCGTGTTCAGAAGGGTGTGTGGCAGGGCATGCCTCACACAGGACACAGTGAACCTCTCTCTACGGAGCACAGAGGACCGTGCCTGGCACCAAGCTAGCCCCCATGCATGCCTGCTGTTCCACTGCACTGGAACATCTTGTCCCTCTCCAGAGGACTTTTCCAGCGTGTCCCTCCTGTGGAGAAATCCTCTGGGGCAGTGCTGGGGTCTGGGGTAGGGGTTATACGCCTGGATTCCCCACAGTTCTGAGAACTGAGTGAGCATGAAATGGGCAGGGGTCTCATCCATTAGTGGGCTGACACTCATTTTTACTGCACCTCACCCGCTGCCAGTAGAAGTGGTCGTCCCTGAGATGCCTTGATGTGTCTCAGGCTCTCCACCAGGTAAGCTCAAAGGGAAGAATGAGCTAGAACCTAACTCATTATCTGGCCTGTTCACCAGCTGCCTGCCAGCCGACAGCCATAGCCTTTCCTGGCTGGCCTGCAGTAGGCCCTAGAGAGGCCCTTCCACTCCCTGCTCTTTGCTGGCTTCCCAGGCTTTGCAGCAGGAGTCACCTCCTCTTTCTTCATGTGTAAGTAGATAACCATTTACATACACAGGCAGAATGTCCCTAATACACAGATCTAAAATCTGATGTGTTCCAAAGCTTTCTGAGCAGCGGCAGGAAGCCACAGTGGAAAATTCCCCACCTGACCTCAGGGGACACGTCACAGTCAAGATGCAGGCACACTAAAAACATTGTATGAAATTACCTTCATCATACGTGTACAAGGTGTGTATGAGACATAAATGAACTTCATGTTTACATGTGGGTCCTATCCCCAAGACGTCTCATTATTTCAAAATCCAGTATCTGAAACACTTCTGGTCCAAAGCATTTCAGATGAGGGATGTTCAGCCCGAATAAAACCTCTACAACCCTACAAAGGTAGGTATTTAGAGAAGTCTTACCCCAGCCCTCTTCTCCTTCTACCCCAGCCCCTGCCCCTGCCCAGAACAGTGCGGCTGGGCTTTGCTTCTCTGCCCCTGGTCTCACCCAGCTTCATAGGGAGTGTGAGGTTTTAGACCCCCCACACTCTATTTGTGCCACTGTATTTCATCTTTTGCTCAAATGTTTGTCATCTTCCTCTCCCATTTTCTCTCCTTGTAAGTTTCTACTTTTAATTTGTTTTCTTTGCTGTCGTTCTAGTGGTTTTGTGAAGAAACACAGGGAAGGTCACCAGGTCACTCTCATCCCTTCATTCTCTCTCTCTGAATACCTGATAGACTGTAAAATAGAGCTCACCGAACGCACCAAGTCTGTGTGTACTTTCAGTATCTAAGGAGTAAACACCCTGTGAAGTGTCAGCTGGGACCAGGAGCATGATTGCTACCACTGAGGCCCCCACAGATCCCCTGTCACTGATGCCTCCGTCCCCCCGGGGTGCGGAAAACTTCCGTGGAAGGAGCTGTCTAAAGGGAACACGGAGTAAAGAACATACTATCCTTGGTCCGAGTTACTCAAAAATAAAAAAGTTCAAAAATATATAATGAATTTCCTGCACATCAAAATTTTGTTTGATTTGTATACCTTTTGTAAGAGTTAAAAGAAATTTGCAAACCAGAAAAAAGTCATTTGGAAAACATAGGTTCCCCTTTTGCTGTTTAGAAAATATGATCATCATGTGTTTGTGGAGAAGGAAAGGAGAACTTCAAGTTCTGTAAATCTGCACAATTAACCCTATGATATGAAGCCCTCTGACTCTGTATTAGGATTATCTCCACATTGATGAGGCACTATGGGCTTACCCTGGGTCACACAGATTGTCGTGCCTGTCACAAACCACGGTGTTGTTGTTACCTCCTCGGAGATGTCTCACTTCTTGAGTCATTTGAGTTTTCTCTTTTCCTTTCCTCTCATCCTGTCCTTTTTTCCTCCATGGTCATTATTACCAAGTGACCATTGCTGTCCTTTGTGTTGTGTTTATCGTCTCCCCAGTGTAAATTTCATGAAGGTCTTTCCTGCCTTATTTGTCTGATTCCTAGTACCCCTAAAGCACCTGACACACAGTAGACATTCAATAAATAGGTTAATCACATTTTTAAAAGGATATTTATTTTTTCAAACAAAGGAATGGATTTAACCCTTAAGAGATAAATAGCTGAATGGGGCTGGCTAGATAATATGTCTTTTCACTTCATGTCAAGCCAGAGGGTGTGGAAAAATTTGCCTTTGTCGTTAATTTTTTTCCAAAATCTCTGTGTATCAGAACACAACACAAATGCTTGTAATCAACATATTAACAGGGCATCTAACATTTCCTGTTAGAGCTGGGCCCTTAAAAAGTTAGTGATTAACTAGTAAATGTAACACTTACCATGAAAATCACACCTTCTCTGAAAATTCAGCATTCTGAATCAGGAAGTTCCAGTCCTTTCCACCTTCTGTAGACAACTGGTTTTGCAGTTGGTTGCCGAACAGACTTTATCACAGAGCTGGTTCTTAACCTGTTTAGCAGTTATCTCAGCTTGTTAGGGCAGTATTTCCTGAAGTATGGCACATTGAAAACAATTTTACTTTGAAAAAGAAATACTTCATTTTTGTGTGCTCTGAAAAATGTAAGTGGGAATTGTTATAAGCTGGCCCAAGGAAGCCTGAGGATGCCACAGTGTAAGTGTCTGTGTTGTAATGCAACACAGAAAGTACTTTAGAGGAACTCAGTTTTTCTAGTAGTACTCAACCTGGAAGTCATTCACTCACACCCTAGTCCTAACACTTCGCACCAAACTGCAGGGAGGGAGAAGACTCTCCAGACAGCAGTCAGGGACTGCAGAATGGTGTGGGCTGACTCAGGAGCGTGGGCCTCCCAGAGCTCTTGCACATGACACGGGAGTCCGTGTAGGGAGAGTGAGGGCCACCAGTCTGTCCCTTTGACAAGGTGCTCAATGCCTTTTGCCTCCATTCCCTCATCCCTAACATGGAGATAATATGGTACTTACCTGATAGGGTTGGGGTGAGTATTAAACACATTATTAAACACATGAATGCCTAGTAAACAAATGCCTAATAAATATGACCTCTTACTGTCTCCCTAGATCAGAAGCTTCCTCTAGGCAAAGATTTTGTCTGTTTTGAGCACTGTAGCACCTGACATTGGATCAGGCCTGTCTTATGGTAAAGCTCAGAAAAATTCTGTGGTGTGAATGAATGTAAATGTCTACTACCTGATGGATCTGCACAGTAGCAAAGTAGGAAGAGCAGCATCTATGTAGAAATAATCACGAGGAATTCATAGTTAATGTCTCAGTTTAAGCAATTACAAAGGAAGAATTCTGTCCACGATTGGCGAATCAACTCAGATATAAAGGACTTAGCGCTCCATTGCTACTGGCATGGAATTTCAAACAGTAGATGATACATGAGAGAATCTGAACCAAAGAGTCAGAAAGAGAACAACCAAAGACCTTCTTCTTAGTCAATCCTGGATAAAGATCCCAACTTCCCATTGTGAAGGGATTAAATATTAAGGGCAAAGCAAGATTTCAGTTTCCCAAATATTTGAGGTCACTGGTAAGCCATTGCTACACCTTCTTTCCTGGTCTATGTGTGGTCTCCTTCAGATTCCCCACTGCCCTGCCCCTCACTGCCAGCTACTTCCTAGTTGTCTTAACATGCAGCTCCTGTGGGAAACTCCACATGCCACCCAGCCAGCGCAGAGAGCAGCAGGAGTGCTGGAAACCACACTTTCATTCCTGCCTCCTAGCATGCAGTAGCTGTGACAGCAACAACTTCACACAGTTCACACTGAGTTACTCATTAGTGACTAGAACTGAGTCACCTAACCGGCCAAACCCTCTACCAGTGGGTTCTTTCATGGCAGGTATCTGCCTTCCAGGCCCAGAAGGACTCAGCATCCTAGCAGGTCTGTGGAAATTTTTTCTTGAAAGTTATATTTTTCCATTATAAAAATATAGTATATAACTGAAACATTTTTAAGTACGGAAATCATCCATGATTCTGTCCCCTTTATGCAATCACTACTAATGTTTTAGCAAATTTTATGGCAGATTTTCCCCATGTTTCTAGAGTTGCACTAAAATAATTTGATTTTATATGTTGATTTTTTAAAATTTAAAGCAAGCATTCTCAGGGAAGCTAACAGTCAGGGTTTAAAAAGAAAAATTGAAAGCCAACCTTTTTGGCTTCTTGTTTGAGGTTTCTGTCTTTGTGCCTGCTTCCCTGGTGAGTGGAAGGAGTTAATGTGCCCTTTTTTCTCTTACTATTCCAAGGGTTATGACCTGTGTTTCATGTCAAGCTACAGCGGGTATACAATTGATGGACCCTGTGAGCTCATGTACCATTAGCCCTCTCCCACTTTATTATGGGAAGCTTATTCTGATGTCCATCCCTGGACAGGGCTGCATGGATCCTAGGGTTTTGCTATAGACCTGGTAAAGGGCCCCGAGGTCATTCCAGAGCTGCCACGCAGTCAAGGAGCAGGAAACTCTTCAGCCTCCAGAAGCTTTGGGAGGCAAGAGCAGTGCAAATACTCATCCCCTAATTCCAGCACCAGGATGGTTTGTACCAATCCCTGGGGATTCCATTATGAAATGGCTGTAGAAATAAATGCTCTCTTATCCAGGCTGGGGATGGGAGTCAGGTGCAGTTTGTTCCTCTAAGAATGGAGACCCACCTGCCCAGTTTCCCACTTCAGCCATTCCATATAAAGGTATCTAACACCTTCAACCTCTTAGGCAGTCAGTGTTTCCTTTGTATTTGTTCTGACAAGAGGCAAAGGCTGGGGTTCCCAGTCATGAAGTCTCTTTCTGTGCTCAGAAAGCCTCAAAAGTCCCCTGCAGCCTAGACAGCACATAGAGCAGTTGCTGGCACTGGAAAACCTAAAACCACTTCCTGACTTAGACATCACTTACAGTGGGGCCTGCCATCTTGGAAACCTTCTTGTCATTTGAGTCTCTGGTCTCTTGATTTAGGAGAAAAGAAAAGCAGGAGACGGAGCCAGCAGTAAAATGCACAATTCTCCCTTGAAGGGCTGTTGGGAGCAATGCTACGTAATTCTAGGGAAAAATCATTTGAGTAGGCCTAGTTCTCCTGCCTAAAGGCCAGCTATGGCATTCCAGACATAACTGCATTTTGGCCTCTGGTCACAACTGAGACCTCAGTGATCCCTGGATGCTGTGATGCTCCAGGACAAGACCACACCAGCGGGAGATGCCAGGGAGGGACCAAATCTTCATCTGCACAGTTCCTCATTGTTCTTAGATTTCCACTCCCCTCAGCCTTTTGTTACACCTTGTTTATCCCAATGTAAAGTACTGAACTCTGCATTTCACTTGTTACATCTGTTTCTCCACGTACTGAATAAAAGGTGCTGCAAGCTGGGGGCTTTCGTCTTTGCCGCCCAGAGCAGCGCTGATCAGACCCAAAGCTCAGCTTCTTCTCAGTCTCATTTTCCTACCTTTCCTGTAATTGGCCGTGTGCTGCCGTGGCTCACAGGAGACTAGGACTCACTGCAGAGGTTCTGGTAACGTCCCCTTCCCCTGTTCCCTACAGAAGGGCACCTCAGTGCAGGTACTTCCTGTGCTTTCTTCTGATCCCAAAGAGGTGCTACTACCATGCAGTTCCAAGGACCTCACTGACCCTGTCAGGCTCCTGCCTAGCCTGGGTACCTTCTCCCTAGGAGCGTGGCTTCTCCTCTCCAGGTGAGCAGCTGCCCCAGATGGCCACCTACCTCTTTGACTCCACCTTTGAGGTGGATGACATCAGTCCACAAGGCATCTGTTTGGGTGTCTGCAGAGAGGCCATGGGTATCCAGTCACCAGAAGGATTCAAGAGTCCCTGGGGGTTGGCTGAGCCCTGACTCTTGGGGGAGGAACCCCCACAATTTCCTTCATATCACACCTGCCAACCCACTGGCCTACAGCTGCTTCTGTGGTCTCAGCATCAGCTGTGACAGGATGTCCCCAAGGGTATGGGTGTCTACTTCTGGGGAGCTGCTGGGACAAGGACCCTCACAGGGAGGCAGAGCAGTGAGTGTCAGAAGCCTGGTGAATCCTTTTGCCAAATGGCTGCTGAGTTCCCTTTGTGGAACAAGGTGAGCCTTGAAGGGACACACTGAGTCACTTGCAAAAGTGACAGTCGTTACCTTTGCTGTATCTTGTAACCCTAAAATATGGCTGCAAATAAATCCGACTGGGACGAGTTGAGAACCGAAGTGGACGTGTCATTGTATCGTAGTTCCTTCCTTCTTTCTTCCTTCTTCCTCCTCTGCTTCATTTTTCCCTTCCACCTTCTTTCTTCCTTTCTTTCTTTCTTCCTTCCTTCCTTCCTTTTCTAATGGGAATTGAACCCAGAGCCTTTGCAGTGAGCTACATCCCCAGCCTTTAAAATTTTTTTTTTTTAATTTTGAAACAAGTTGTTGCTAAGTTTCCTGGGCTGGGCTTGAACTTTAAATCCTTCTGTCTCAGCTTCCC